TGGCCCTCCTGGCCCCAGCCACAGGCTTCCCGCTAGCGTCTCCACTCGCGCCCCCTCCCCCTAAGCCCCGCCTCCCCCGCGCCCACTCTAGCCCTCCCCTCTGCGGAGGGAGGACCCACCCCTGCACACATGGCTAGGCCTGGGGTGACTAATTCGCTGTGCTCCACACCTCCCACCCGGGCCTCAGGACTTATTCATACTGCAGGGACCAGGTACCAGGGACAGGGACGGTGGGGTTGGGGCTCAGCCAGCCCCTCCCACTTGTCAAGTGCAGGCTGGCCGGATTAGCCAGAGTCTCCTGGTTAGCTTCCTCCCTCCGCCACCTCGCTCCTTCCTAAGGGGGCGGGGCCAGACACTGCTCTCCTGGACCCTGACTGGCCAGAGCCCTGGGTGTGGCTGAGGTTCCACCTGGCCCCTGTTGCTGTTGTGAATGGGACAGGCCTGCCTGTGTGACAAGGGTGACAGGACAGCCTAGTGCCCGTGCCAAGTCCTAGGTGAGGCCCTCTATGTCCACTGTGCCCCCAGGGAGATCCATAAGTGCAGCTCAAGAGGGGCCCCCGGCTCCTGCAGGGTCCTGGCCCGGAGTCCCAGGGCTCCTAAGGGGATGGGAGAAGGCTGGAGGGAGGGGAGAGTAAGGAGGAGCGGGGAGGGGTGTGCGGCTCTGCAGTCAGCAGCGCAGAGGAAAGCAGGCACCATATAAGGAATGGGGCTCCGGAAGCTGAGATTCCCTCCGAGGGAGGCCCCTTCCGCCTCCTGGCAACCATGGTGGGGGAGGACCCAATCCTGGGTTCTCCTGGGTTCTCCGTGCTGGAGGGCTGGTGTGGGCTGCAGAAAGGGCCGTCTGCTGTCACCTGGCGCAGGTGCACACAATGGCATGGCCACACCCTCAGGGGTGAGGACCCCTTATGCTGACTGCCAATTTCCCCCTCCCTCTCTGAGACATACACACTGCACACTCATGCCCCCCACTCACACCCTCACATGCACATTCATGCCCCCACTCACACCCTCACATGCACACTCATGCCCCCCACTCACACCCACACATGCACACTCATGCCCCCCACTCACACTCTCACATGCACATTCATGCCCCCCACTCACACCCTCATCTTCCATGCACACTCATGCCCCCCATTTATATCTTCACATGCACACTCATGCCCCCCACTCACACCTTCATAGCCCATGCACACTCATGCCCCCCACTCATACCTTCACATGCACACTCATGCCCCCTACTCACACTCTTATAGCCTGTGCACACTCAAGTTCCTGCTAACAGTTCCTCCTGACCAGCCTCCTGACCTGACTTGAGGTGCACAGGTGCCATTCTCTGGAGTTCCCACTCGCCTCTCCCTGTGCGCCCCCCTCCCTCCCTGCAGCCAGTCTGTGTCTTCCTTACCCCCAGGCTTCCGTCCCTGGAGGGAATGTCTCTGGCAAAACTCCCCAAAAATGGCTCTCCTGGCATTTCTAATTAAAGGCAGGTGGGCGGACAGAGCGGGGAGGGTGGAAGGGCTCTGCAGAGTGAGGGGAGCCGGCAGAGAAGCTGCTAGAAGGAGACCTGGAGCCTTCCAGGGAGAGGCCTGCACAGGAGGTAGGAGGTGTCTGCAGTGGGGCGCACTGGCATGGTGAGTGGCTGCCCTGGGCGACTGCTGAGCCACATTCTGAGTACAGGTCCCTGCATGTGAGACCCATGTTCTTCAGGGTGCAGCCCACCCGCCCATGTGGCCCTGAGGCTCCTGACCCAGCTTGCTCTGGGTCTCTGGCCTTACCCCTTGGAGAGGGGCAGGCAGAGAGGAGGAGGTGGGCTTGGGCAGGCAGGAACATGGGGGTCAGTCTGCCCCTTTGTGGGGGACCAAGCCCAGGGCTGGGATAGACCCTCTTGGAGCACATGGCCCCTGCCCACCCCTCTCATCACCACTGGATAGCCAGAAGGAGCTGGCGGTGGCACGGGGACTCCTGCCCTCCTGCCCACACTCTGCACAGAGGCCGGAACACAGGCCGGCAGTGACAGATGACAGCCCGCAGCCGCTGCTCCGGGAACACTTAATCGCTGCCCAATTATCACCCCAGAAGCCCTCAGCAAACCCCCGCACTGAAGCCCTGGGCTCTGCTCTTCCACCTCCGGAAAAGAGGCCAAGCTGGCTCCCCACAGCCGAGTTCCCAACAATGACACGGGGAGGGGGAAGCCCTGGGCACTGAGTGTGGACCCCAGCCCAGGACCAAGCCAGGGTCTGGGGACCCCACTCTCAGAGTCAGCCTAGTCTGCCACCCCCATGGTCCAGGAGAGGGCGAGCCAAGGTGGCCAAGGGGGCTGTCCAAGGCTGGTTCCAGGTGGTCCTGGCTCTGGCCCCGACGGTCCTCTGCAGACCCCTCTGCCCCCAGGGCTCCAGGCTCCCTGGCCAGGTTCTGGCTGCCTGGTGCTGGGATGCCTGCTTCAAGAAGTGGTCTTCCCAAATGCAGCTGAACCTCTGCACTCCCAGCCCGGCTTCAGAAATGGCACACTCCCACCTCCCTTCCTGACTGCCCAGCGCCCAAGTCCTTCCATAGGCATCACGTGCATGGCTCCAGGGACCCCTCCTCACTGGCTTCCAATCCACCACTGCCTGGACCCCAGAGGTATGAGGGGCCTGCTCAGCAAGGAGTGGGCTGTGTAGCCTAGCCTCCCTCCCTGCTCCCCTTCGTGGCTGCCCAGCTGTTCCTGCCAGGTCCCCTCTGCAGGAGGCCAGGGGCTGACTCACACCTGGGCTCTGCAGGCCACAAGAGGTCTCTCTGGGGCCCCACTGCCTGGCCCTGATGGCCCCGATGGCCTGCTACCCCACTAGGCCCCAGTGTGGGCAGTTAGCACCGCTTAACAGCCGAGGGCCTGCGGCTGCTCCTTCAGGAACAGAGCTCCAACCTGTACCCCACACTCACACGCACAGACATGCACAAGCACACGCATGCACACACCCACACACAGAGCAGGTGCCGCATGTTCAGGCTCCTGTGCCCCTGGGCTGTGTGGCCTCACCCTGCAGCCAGGGGGACAGGTGGTGGCCTTCTGCTCTGCTTCTCACTCATCTGCTCCAGGACTCACACTCTCCCAGGGGTGGGGGTGGACAGTAAGAAACATTCCTGCCCCTTGGCCCTGCCACAGTCCACCTGCCCCCTATATGTGACACTCCTTGGCCTTGCAGCCCTGCAGGTGACCTCGTCCCCTAACCTCTGCTGGCTCTTCCCCTAGCATGTCTGCCTCCTGTTGGCTCTCTGCACTCAGCAGAGGGCAGGGCTTCCTGACCACCCGGACTGAGTGACAGCTCTCAGGCACCCTGCGTCCAGCAGGCCCTCAACGGAGGGTGAAGGGATGGCCCCATCTCTGTCCCCTTTTGAGGAGGGACATTCAGCAGTTGCCTGCCTGAGCTGCAACTTTCCACCTGTGAAATGGGTGATGGTGCTGGAGTGTCCAGTGAGGCCCAGGGCTATGGGATCTGCCTGGGTCCCTGAAGCCTGCCCCTCTTGCCCCGCCTGATCTTGCCCGAAGATCTCTCAACTTGTCCTGCTATGAGCCCCCTCCTCAGAGTGTCGTTCTGGGGATATGTGGCGTTCGCTCTGCCTGGGCTCCTTGGAAAGGGCACTCTCTGCCGTGGTGGTGCAGACCCCAGACCGGCAGGAACCTGCTCCGAGCAGCAGGAGGACCCAGCTGTCTCCAGCCCTGCGCTGAGTGGGCACGCACCCCCAGGGCCTATGTCCGGCGGTCTCTCCTCTGTGGGTGTTAGGACAGGGAGGACTGGAGCTGGGCTCGAGGCCCCAGGCCCCACCCGAGGACATGGGAGGCATGCGGTGGGTTCCCCTGAGACGAGGGGAAGACCAGAGAAGGGAAAAGGGGACTGAGATGGGAATGGTGGAGCAGGGGGGCCCGAGACACCGGGACATGCTGCTGCAGCTTGACTTCTCAGGGACCGCGGTCACTCCCGCAGTGGTCCTAAGGGTCCAGGCTGCTGAGCTGGTAAGTGATGGGGGGCCCTGTGTGTCTGTCCAGCCACGCCTGCCTGGTCCCCCACGAGGTGGCTGCTATAAGACCCCAGAAGCGAGAATGGCCAGCAAGGGGTCTAGGAGCCAGTGGGTGCTGAGCCCAGCTCTCAGGGTGACTTGGACACAGCCATAGGGCACTGAGGCTGATGGCCTTCGGAGCCCATGGGAGCCAAAATGGATCCCCCAACCTCCGCCTTCCATCCCTGAAGCTGCGGAAACATTTCTTTCTGCCTCCACCCTTCTCCGGGTGGCAGGTTGGCAGGCTGTGTGCCGAGTCGCTGTCCCCGGAACAGGCAGCCTGTTCGTCTGGGCCCCCACACACCAGACCCTCCTCCCCGCTCCTTCCTGCCTCCTGCCTGCGCCTCCGGCCCAGCCGCAGGAAAGTTCGGTACTTTTCCTATCCTGGCACAACCCTGCAGCTCCTCCCAGCCTGCGGGTCTCTCCTCAGACCAGGAGGCAGACAGGGGCACCCAGTGGCCCAGGAGAAGCTCGCTGCTCACCGCCACACCCACATTTCATGGGAGGGGAAATCGAGGCCCAGAGAGGGGCAGGGCTTGCCCAAGCCACACAGAAGGACAGAGCCAGGGCAGGCCACAAGTGTGTCTGGAAAGTCCCTCCACCCTGCCTTGGCCTCAGCCTCCTCCCTGTGAAGACTCAGGACCACTCTGCCCTGCTCAGCCGTTCAGTCAACAAACCTTCCTGTGCCAGGTTGATGGGCAGGGCCAGGCGGGGCCCAAGGCCATGCGGACGCTGCCACTAGCAGGGCCTGGCGAGCCCAGACCTCCCCTGTAAGCCCTGGCAGGCGCCTCCTCCTGGGGTTCCTGTTTTTTGTTATTTGTTGTTGTTGTTGTTTGCTATAGGGCATGTGTGCTCGCCAGACAGAGAGAGACAGAAAGCGAGAAATCACCCCCCAGGGGGGATGGCCATGCTGCAATCCCTTCTCCTCCATTCTCCTCTTGGGATCCTGGGTACACACACATGCGCATGCCCGGTGTGAGTTTAAGCCACCGGGTCCAGGACTCTAACTGCGGTCGACTACATGGGAGTCCAGCGACATAGCCATTATGCTAACTGCTGGTCCCTCCTCTTGGGGTTCTTGTCAGGGCCAGGCTGGTCCTCCCTGACCGGCACTGCCCAAGTGGGAATAAGCGGGGAGGGGCCACTGGGCATGCCAGGGGCAGACCACGGGGCATGTGAGCCGGGAACGCAGGGAGGGACTGGAGCTCCGGAGGCTGTCCCAAACACCTTCATTTGGGAATGTCCCCTCAGCACTAGATAGGGACTGGTGCAGAGCCTAAAGGGGCCAAAGTCACATATCCTAGCTTATCAGGAAGAACAGCTGAGGTTCCTCTCAGCCAGAACAGCATAGTGGGGAGAGGTGGGGATGGCCGGACCTTTGCCATAGATTTCTCTACCAGGGTGCCCCACCCATCGCCACCCCTTTCACTTGACTGTCGTCTCCTGGTGTGAAAGCTAAGCGTGAAGCCGCAGCTTTGCTTCAAATGTTGTGTGCATCTGAGCCCAGCATCACCGCCTCCAGGAAGGCTTCCTGGTTTCGGTGCCCTGCTGACCGAGCAGTCACTGTTCCTCCTCCCTGCATATGCTCCACTCTGTCGGAGCCCCTAAGCTGGTTTGTGACTGTGTGTGTTAGTGTATGCATGTCAGAGATGTTTCGACACCTGGGTGTGCTGGAGCCAGCAGCCAGGAGATAAGGAGGGAGGGTCTGGCAGGGCAGAGCCTGGAGGGTAGGGGAGACTATAGAGGGGTAAGGGGCAGCCCAGGGCTGTGAGTGCAGGGGGAGGGGGCCAGGGAAGGGCAGGCAGATGGCAAACTGTTTGGGTGGGTGTCCCAGACAGAGAAGAGCCAGGTATGAGAACAGCTGGGGGCCCCTGGCAGCTGGGCTGCAGCTCCAAGCTGGGGGCCCTGGTCCAGAGCAGTGCAGAAAATGCTCTTTTCTCCCGCCCCACTGGGCCCCCGGCCAGACCTGAGGCCCACCCCACTACCTTCCTGGACGCCCACCTGGCCCAGACCAGACTTCAGGAACCCCGAGGGTGGTCGGCCCCTCCATCAGCATGGGGGTTTTCTGCCAGCTGGCTGGCGGGGGTTCAGGACTCGTGCCAGTGAGAGGGTGGCGTCCAGGACAGCCCCCGCCCCCGCAGCCACGGTTCCTGCTGTTCTCTGCAGCTCCATTTAAATCTCTGCAGCCTGCAAGCTTGCCAGCCACCGCTCACAGCTCACTTCCGGCGCCATAAAAGGAAAGAGGCTGAGAATAGCGCGTTGTGACGCGGTGAGGGCCTCCGCAGGCAGGCTCCCCGCCACCCAGGACCCCTGCCTGGCCCGGGCCCCACCGGAAGTAGATGGCCAGAGCCCCCAAATCTACCCTAGCAACACTGGCTGCCATGTGACCTTGACTGTATCCCTGGAGTTCTGTAACATCTGCCTACTCCCAGAGGCCCAGAGGGTCACTGTGCCCAGCAGGGCAGGTGGGGGACAGCTGGGGCTGTTCCTCCCCTAGGAGAGATCCCAGCCCCGCATGGCGGCTCCTCAGTCCCCCATAGCCCCCAGGTACCCTTCTGTAGGCTGAGGGCTCCGGGCTCTGTACTGGACATGGCAGAGTGGGGGTGGCCAGCTGGGGACCGTCACAGCCTTCTGAGCACCTATGGGGTGCCCAGAGGTGGCACTCACTCATCACCTTGACTGGCTGTGAGAAGGCTCGGCCAAGAGGATGCTGAGACCAAGAGGGCAGATGCTTAGGAAGCACCGCTGTGCCCCGCCCCACCCTGCCCTACCCTACCTAGCTGCGGGTGGGGGCCCCATCTCACCCAGGACCAAGGGAAGCTTTCCTGGGGCAGCACCTGTGGGCCGTGCTCTGGTTGCCCCCCCAACACCCCTCACAGACTGGGACATAGACCCTGCCCCTTCCACTCTCCCCCACCTGCTACACCTTGCCCAGTCCCTGGGCCTCTCTCCGGGCCTGGCTCAATGCCCTCTAGGCACCAGCTCCAAAGGCCAGCATGGTCACAGCCACCACACACCCTGCCAACCCTGCCCCACCTCCTTCGGCCCCCTTGAGTAGTGGCCCAAGACCTCCCTGCCCACTGTGAGCCTCCAGGACACCAGGTACCAGCTCTGGTCCTGGGCCTCATGGAAGTGTCGGCCTCAGATCCTTGTGCCAGGCAGAGCCTCCTCACCCCCGACCTGCACTCCACAGGGTGCCTTGGTGGGCACCTGGGGCCCAGGCTGTGTGCGGCTCAGCGAGGCTCAGGGTGTGGCAGGGGCCAC